TAACCGATATATTTTCGAATTCTGGGATTGAACCAAATTGAGTTACACAAGATTCCAAATATAGATATATGGTTACATAAATTTCTAAAAAGGAAATTTTGGCTATCAAAAAATCGGAAAATCACCAAAAATAAGTTACACAAAATTTCCAAAATGGTAATTCATGTAATATCAATTCACGTGAGTCAACTCAAGTCAACTCAAGTTGAAATGAGTCAAGTCAATTTATTGACTCAACTTGACTAATGACTCGACTCGAGTCAAATGAGTCAGAAAATTTTTGACTCAACTCGACTCAAACTCGAGTCAACTCATTTGACTCGTAAGTCAACTCAACTCATTAGGAGCTCTATATAGATCTGTTATATCATGAAATTTGTTATATTAAAATTTGCTATAGAAAAGGTTGACTGTATTAAGGTTGAAAAAAAGGCAATACCTATTTTTGAAGCAACCATTACAGTTTTTGCATTTAATAATTCTTTATCTTATAATACGTTTACAACTAATGCTTTAAATACAAAAGCAATGAATATTAATCCTGAAGGTAAATAGCCTATTATACTATTGCAGGATTATTTTAACAAGAAAATGTGGCAAAGTAAATGATCAACATGTTTCATTAAATTGATCTAATTATACAGAATTAATCTATTGGATGATCTACAAATTAATTTGCATATGTAACATTGTAAATGTTAGAAATGTTAGAAATGTCAAAAATTTCAAGAATGTTAAACAATTTTTATAAAATTAATATATTTAATATATTTAATATAGCTAATATAGTTAAATTATTATTATATGCAATTTGTTTTATATAAATAGGATGGTTTATATTTATTGGAAAGTGGAAAGACAGGAAGTTAGATTTCCTCTAATCCAGTACTAATGTTCTCATTATTTTCTATTTCCTTTTATTTTATTTTCTTAATAAATATATTTTTATCTTTAATTAAATGTTCTTTAATTAAAATGGATCTATTATTTCAATTATTCTAATGAATTTAGTAAGCTAATTATAAAAGAAACAATACTCGAATATCTCATTTAACTGTAGCAATCTACCAAAATCGCATATTAACAATACGTGATATTATTTTTAATTAACAAATTTAACATATGGATTTTTCAGATGATTATAGTGACTCTTTTTTCATAGATTACCTAAAGATATGAAAATTATTCTTTAAGAATGTGGTTTGTAAAAATAAGATATAGTAGACTATTATCAAAAATCTGATTCAATAGAAACGGATTACTGTATAAGACATATTTTAGAAAATCAATCTGATTTTAAGAATCAAAAATATAGATTTACAAGAAGTAATTAAAGTACATGATCACAAAATAATTTTTTATCCCAAATTTTATTTATTGTGAGTTAAACTACATTAAAATGTATTGAGATGCTGCTAAAAAGTATGCATAGCAACATTGCAATTATATATAAGCAGGTCTTAAGCAAATTGTTTCTGAAATACTTGATTCTATTTCTATTAAACAAATTCGTGTTGTAACCCAAATGATCTTTAGAAAATTAGAAATGTGACGCAGTAAAGTGATCTGCAAATGATCATCATGTGAATTG